TAGCATAGGCAAAGCCATAAATCCAGTCCTAACTCTGACTCTAACTCTTCCGGAATGTAGGACAACGCAAAACGAAGGCCTATATTCTCCTGTCCAACCGGTCTTTCTTCTATACCTAGTCAGGGTAGTGGCATTACCCTAGCCGTGCGCACCGATGTTTGTTTTGAGCCTCTCAAGGTTATGGCAAGTCGCAGTAAATTGTAGCCTTATTCAACCCAGATATATGAAATGCTACTAAAATGTCTGCAGCAAATGTCAGCATATGGGTAGGGTTGAACGGAAGTAAAACACTGTAATATTACCTGTGCAAAGTACTGTGGGTAAAAAAGCTACCGGAACGTTTCTGCAACCGATTCTTACCAGCGCATAAGGCACTCATTCAGGGTGATTTTCGATCATGTGGCTGACAGTTCAGTCGTCCGTAAGTGAACAGCGGACAAGGAAACTAGTCTCCTGTGCGTTACTATTGGGAGAAGTTAGTTCCAAATTCAGATAAATTTTCCCCTGATAGGGATCTCTTTAGGGACTACTGTGTGTTGCCCGACAATGTGGCCTTTTAAGGCTAGAGTACTCTGCATTTAGGGAGTTTGTCGGTCTGCCCCGTATCACAACTGTTGTGACTTATGACCAGTCCACGTTTGCTCCCCTGAGACCGGCGGTCTACCTACAGAACTTCAGACTACTATACAGCTATCGTCAGATTATTACACTTCAGCAAGCCCTAACTGATAAATAGAGTAGAAATGTTAACCGCAGATTCTGAAATGTATTTTCGACTAGAAAATATTACTTAAGGTCGTAGGACTAACTTCTGTGCAGCATAATCAGAAGGTATTTTAGGCAAGCGAGGATACCGGTTTTTGACGAGTTTCTTTCCGGTCGCTCAAAAAACTACATTCTACAAATTCGACCACTTAATTAGGATGATTTTTGCCTATTGATTTTCGATGCTGTTGTGATTTAAATGTGTCCTGTATAAAGCATTTGCAAAACTTTTCTTTCTTATGTTTATTCAGACGCAAATTACGTCTTCTTTAAAGTGCGTGCCTTAAGAAAGGGTGTTTTTCGATTTTAAAAACACTCTCGGTTACAAAATAGTCTTGAACTTGACCTGCCGTTGCACTTATGTTCAGGGTTTTCAAACTAAAAAGTTGTATATCTCCCCTCTAACGAACATCAAGCATTTATTGCCATTTACATGGCGTCGTATAAGGCTCTTAAAGTTTTTCGGTGGGTTTGGATTACGTCGTATCCTTTGCAAGTGGCATCAATAAATTGACGAATGCGATGCTTTACGTGCAGACCTTTCACAGTCCTAATGATTCTCTTATTAGATACTCTTTTAAAGAAAAAGCCCCGTCTCTACAAGTACAAAATTTAAAGAAGACATAATTTACTATCAAGTGAGCATAGGAAAAATATTTTGAAATTTTTTTTCTCTAAAATGGGTATGGGAAAAATCATACTCCCTAATTAATTATTTTGCATAAGATGTAATTTTTCAAAGTGGCCGGAAAGAATCTCATTTAAAAGTCGGCATCCTGATGTGACCAACATATCTCCTGATTATGTTGCGCGATAGTCATCCTAAAGACCCTACTTAAGTAGGCTTTTCTTATCAAAGGCACATTTCAGAGCATCTTTTTATCATTTCTTGAGATAGGATATCCACTGCAGACCGTTTTTCGCCGGTGTCTGTGCTACATTTTCTCGATATGGCTCGACGTTTTGTTAGGTCGGCAGTGGTAGTGACTTCTTCAGTGATCTTTTGAGCTCCATCCATTTATCATCCACAGCGAGTAGAAAGGCTTCAGCCGAAGCTATTATTACACTACTACAGTATATTTGCTATCTCATGGAATGTCGACAAAAATCCTGAGATGTGCAGTCGGCTCGAAAAGATTACTTAACTAAGGTTGTCATATTTAGTGGCGTGCAGGGTAATCACGAGATATTTCAGTCGCATCAGATTGTCGGTTTTAAAATTAACCTTTTCTTGATCGTCTGCATAACTGCACTGCAAAAATGGCTACTTAGGGAGATCGAAAACCAGTATAGAAAGTCATACTATTTGAATAGTCATTTCTTACAGAGTGCTGTTTTTACAGTCCAAAAGAGGTTTGTTCGAGAGCCAGCATTCTGATGTGACTGAAATAGGTTGGGATTCTGTTGCCCAGTAAGTAAAATTACAATCCTACCTCAATAATCTTCTTGAGTCGAAAATATATTTTCAAACTCCAGTTAGCATTTCACAAGATAGCACATCTACTCTACCTTGCACTTTTCCCTCTGAAATAATGTAAATCTGATACTCAATTTGACGGAGTTGCCATCTGCGTCACTGTTTTTGATTTTGGCATTTCAGCTTATCATCTCATGCTCAGGGTACTATGAGTCTTTAAATTTCAAAATCGCTAGAACTTTACGTGCACCAGTAATTTCTGTTCTGCATTCAGGGTCCAAATCTTTATTCGGCGAAATAATCACAAGAGCCGAGAATGCGGTTAAATAAACTTCTATTAAGCAAAAATAGGACAGGGAGATTTAAGGATTAGTGCGGTAAACGGAAGGCCTTCGAAAGGCCAGGATAAAGCATGATGAGACAGGTACAAGCCAGATAGAGTGTTCTTTATGCAGTTACTATCCGCAACTGTCTTTTACCTGATACTTACTTGTTGCAGTGACTGCAAATGGGGGTATCAGGACGGCAGCAAACGGTCCCCCTGAAGATTCTCTCAAGCACGACGGAATATGTAGGTCCAGGTCTCAACGGAAGTAATCTAGGAGGGTTTTGTACCTGATCAAGTCAATTTTGTTTACTCAAGAAGGAATGTTGGTCGAACGCTGGAATCACCAACCTAATCGTCTAAGATTTCAAACGCATACACGAGTCCATCGCCAGAGTTGGGAAGACAACAACGAGAGGTGTACTATGTGTTGGGCTATATGGTCAGTTACCTAGCAGTGTTGCGCCTGTGTAGGCTTTTACGTAGGGTTGTGTGCGTAAGTGACTTAATGCAGGAGCTCCAAACTCCGACCACTTCACAATCTGTCTTGCATTCTGTTCAGCCGATTGCCTTGGCGGCAGTAAAATCGAACGAATAGTTTGGTGGGGATTTTGGGGGATGATCACCGCGTCAAACACTTGCTTTACATGCACATACGCGCGACCTCAGCCTTCGCCCACTTTGGCCTGCATAGTTATAAAAACAGCGGAAGCATAACACATGGTAAATGACACCAGATTTTTCGCTCGCGATAACCCAGTCCCCGATTCCTGCAACGCGTTTACGAATTTCGGCCACAGAGCGATGTGCGATCCCCACTGCTTGACCCCAAATAGTGCTTTCAGATGCCTCCAAAGCATTACTTATCTGCGGTAGGGTATGACTCTGTTTTTAATGTTTTTTTCTTGACAAAAGGCTGTATTCAGATACGGATATTAGAGAAAACAAACCTGTCGTCGTCTTTTCGACGCACATTAGACTTTCTTGAAAGACTCGTTGCATCTATTTTACTTGTGAGGTAAAATCTTGCGCGCACAAGCCCACACACAGTCAGGCGATTGACAAACTGTACACAAAGCCTGAAGGTCAGAGATCCCTCTAAGGGTACGTGCTGTCGTATGTTGGGGACACTGATTCTTCTTGTACCCCGGTCGTCGTCGTCGTCTTCGCCGCCGCCACCACCACCACCGAAAAGTGCATATTCGCAACTTCGCAGGAGACGAAGGAGATGGGGACTTTTCAGGCGGGAGAAACGACATCGAACTGCGGGGATGGGGGGAGGGATACAACTGCGCAAAAGGTAAAGCGGACTGAATGATTGAGGAGGAAAGAAAGGGGGAAAATGTGAGGTCAGCCGAAGGGCCCTATAATCTTGTTTATAAATGCATCCGTCACGCAATCCCACCTCGCTCCGACACGAATGTGTGCGGTTAATATTTACTTAGGAATACTCCCATGAACAGCCGTTTATAGTCGAACACACGAATTACCTTGGTAAACACTGAGATACGACTGTGTCTGCACAGCCGTGATCTGTTTACGCACCGGTCAGTGGCGGATCTTAGGTGCTTTCTTTTTAGCACCGCCCCGGTACGTATTTATGCCTTATCCGCCGATAATTCTGGGTTGTAATGTCCGTCAACCGGTAGCCGACAGTAAATATCCGTCTTATCAATCGACATCTTCCCTGTAGATAACGATGATGCGACCAGGCACAACATTTAAGCGACGTTCACTAGGTCACAATTCGTTATCCTGTTTAAATATTATACTTCTATAACTGTAGTCTTAGCTCCAGTAGTTTAGTGCAATATTTGTTTCATAGTGTGGTCATGAACTGCAATAAGGTCTCTCGAAGATCTTGTGCTGTCGCCTACTTTTTGGCAAAATTATATCTTTCCGAAGACTGGAAGTCTGGTAATTTCCTCTTTATGAATCATGGGGAACTGGTTCGTCAACATCTCCTAATTTATAAGGAGTCGTCGTTGTCTTTTTTCCCTCAATTTTAGTTAGTTGACATGGCATCCTGATGAACATCAAATCCTCCCTTCCCGGTGTATAGTGTAATATTTCCACGCCCTTCAGGCTCCAATATTAATAAATTTTAGGAGTCGAGGATTTCTTTCTTGATTCTACCGATCAGAATTATGGCTAGTTTAAAGACAGAGTGTGTAACTATATGTAACATGCCTTTTCTGCCACTTTTTCCGTCAAACTAACATGATCCGGGAGATCCGCACACGACCATTCACTTGTCGGAGCTGGGTTCGACTGACCAAGAATTAGCGAACAGACTATAACCCACGAATTTTTTAGTGTTAAGACGCGGGAATAGGAATTCGTCCACGTAATACAGGTGTCTTGCTGGTTGCTTGACTTGAGTAAGTGTCCTTTTCTGGTTTTTAGCCTTTTCCTGAGCAAAAAAACCAAATCATCGCAGAAAATCAGAAGGGTTTCATTAGCTCACCCTTCTGGAGTAGCGCTAAGATTGAAATGATATCAATTTTTCCAAAGCAAGCATATTTCCTGGACTTTGCAGCCACCATTGTGCAGTCATTAGCAACCTGTCGAGGACCAGATACCACAAAGACCCGGACTATCGCTTACGTGAGAGTAATTTCTTAAATTGGCGATTTTAAATAAATGATCGGTCGTCAAGATCACGGGCAAAATATTTATACCTCCAAAGACAGCACCTGCTATTTTGATTAGTAACATATCGGTATGCCATTCATTAATGCAGTTATGTAGAAAGTACATTTATCAGTGAGGTGGTAACTCTTCAAGGGACAACACAGAACCAGGCCTGTGCGCGAAAAGGACAGATTACCAATACTAATGAGGGCGCATAAAACTCATTTACCGAAATGTCCTAGTTTTAGAGCCTTCATCATGCATTTTCAGAGCTTTTTTAACAAAGTCACATGATACAAATATCAGGAAGTACGCGACAACACATTTATAAGACGGAGAGCAGTTGTTCCGATGCTTTTGCCTGCAATTCCAAGTAGGACATGGTTATAAGTACGCCTTCGCATAACAGGCAGTCTTGCGTGAAATTTCAGGGAAGGTTAGAGTGGGGTTAGTTTAAGGGTTAAGATTAGGATTATACGGGCTAGGGTTTGCGGGGTCAGCGTTGCAGCCAGGGTTAGAGAAAGGGTAGAGTTAAAGTTAGAACATGGGAAGAGGTACCCAATGGAATTTTTTGCAAGGCCGCATGTATTGAGGGATAGGGCACTCACGCCCGTGTTCAACGCATTTCCAGTGCTTTCACTACCATTAGTCGAAGAAACTCCAACAACAAGCTTCGCCGGATCGATATCAGACGATTCGGCTGGCGGTGGTAGGCTCCTGATGTTGTGAAAGCCATTGAAAGCCTAAAAACAGTCCGTTACCAGTAAGTTCAGGAAACTCAAACTTGTCTGGGTTGATCCTCCGCAAAGAGTGAGCAAGTAGCGTTCTATTCAAGCAAAGGCAAACAGTTTTTCAGAGCTCCGGACAAGTGTCCATGCAGGCATGAAATTCAGTTCAAGCGCTTCACTTCTGGAGGCCTTCATACCTTTAAAGATTATTTGCTCAGAATCAATTTCTCGGTGCAGCTAAATGTCTAAAATCTAATTTCACGTTGGAAAACAGAACAGAATGTGGATCGACGACTAGGCATGCATCTCCATAGCCTCGTACAATGCCACAATGTTTTCATCTCTGGACGACCGCTACCCGAAATTTACTGGTAACTATTGGAGTTTTCATGTAACAGTAACCCTAGGTTTACCTAGAAGTAGGCTATTATTTGTTTTAATTTGTTTCACTTTTACATCCTGACTGTTTGCTGCGCATGTGTTTCTTTGCTGGATAGCATAGGAACTTTCACAAACTAGCTGTGACGTGAAAAAAAAACAATGCAACGACCAATTGACCGATCAGACCCTGCATTATGCCCAGCTGATCGTCGCGAACGCGATGTATCCATTGGCTCATATTGTAGAGCGTAGATGTACTTTTACGGTGACGATCTAGATAGACGACTGGCGGGTCCATTTATGTCAAGCGAGTATAAATTATCTTGGGACTAGGTTATATGCTGATTGACCTTCCGACTTCACTTTAGTAGGATTTTATGATGTTATCCGCTATCCGTTGTTACAGCTATTTCCGGCTCTACCCCAACAGAACAATTTTGTTCTTGTATAGACCTTAAAAATGCTTTTACTCTTCGCTTGCACTGATTATTCATAAACACTTCCGGAGGTGAGACCCTAAAACACCACCCATCCTGAAATAGATCTGCAGTCTTTCCTATTTTACAGATAGTTTACGATGTTCATGGCAGACTTTCGGAAGAGACTTCGCTTTCCTCGGAATTAGCCTTGAATATAAATAGAAAGACTCGCCATTACTCTCCAATTTTGGATCCAAACTATTAATAGTCTAGTGCTAACAGAACATCTGTCAAAGTAAGAACACTGTTGAACACCTTCTCCAGAGCATGCATGCTCTACCAATGGAAAATTGTTGCCGTTCATTATTGTTTTTGATTCAACCACCTCGCCTACTCCCAGGGTCTTTTTTAACAACTAACGCGTTGGGGTTACCAACTTTGTTTGATGCGCTTAATGGCTGAGAATGGTTTTTAGGCCTTCTGATCGATATCAGGTTGCTCATTTTACAACAAACCCTGTCAGACCTATAATCTGGACCCATTTTATGGTGGACATTTTCCGTTTCGCAATTTTATCTGCTTGTAAACAAAGAGTTCGTTAATTCACGTGGTTCTCTGTCAAAATCTACTATGCTAACTCGAAAATGGTTACGTTTATCGAAAAATATTTTTACCGACCTTGATCTTTCGTCAACCTTAAATCATGCCCTTATTTAGAAAGAAAGGTAAATTTCCATCGAAGTTTTTACTAAATTTGCTAATAGTTCGGAAACTGACAACCGAACTGTACAGAACTTGCATGCAAATTAGTCTTCACAACATTTGAATTTCTAATGCGCCCTGGAACCAGACCACTCATGTCTGACCGTAGATTAACGACAAACCAGAATGAGTTCGTTTGCTATTTTCCTTTGACTGAAAATTGTGTATCTCGACGAGGGGTGACATTCCCAAACCATCTTTTATGTTTGCGAATTTCATCAATAAATTCGCCTTCATATCCAGGTTGCTAAACCCGAAATCTCATAATCAAGCGTCTGTCGGTGAAGTGACAAGTTGTTACTTTTAGCGGTGGCCTAGGCAAAGGCACCTTCCCATCGAGCTTTAAGTTAATTTGATTCGACAAATAAAAATTAATGAATAAATGAAATAGGCAGTCTGATTGATGGCGAAGTTTTTATCAGTAATAAAAATAAACGAACCGTAGAAACCACAGTGTCGGATGGTGTGGTCTTGAAAATTAAAAAGCTGCATAAAACAACAGAGTACATAAAGTTTTGCACTTTGCAGCGTAAAAGCCGGGAATTTTTGAAGGCCTGCTGCTTAAGATTGTTCACTTGAAAAGTTTAATGTTTAGTAATTAGTGGCTTTTTGTATATTTCAGGTACCCATTTGCATAGACTCTTTTCCAAAACCACTAATGATGAGTAGGATTCTCGTAAGTTGCCGGTTAGAGGGTAAAAAGGCATTCTTAGGAAAGACGTACTTACTCCTTAACATTTTTAGCAGCGAAACCGGTTGCTAACTTTCAGAAACCCCTGTGTCCTCTGTGCAATTATCTTTATAAGTCATGCTCAACAAGACTTCATACGAATGCCGGCTTGAGTCCAGTTTTAACACGGCTGACTTCGATACGGTCAATCTAATTGCCTCCTTTTAAACAGTGCCGTGTCAAGCAGGCTCCTGGGTCTAGTATGAATGTGACTTATCACATCAGTTTGGAAGGAGCACCGCTGAAGTTGAGAAAGACTGGGAGGCGGTGTCTTACCTAGTCGCCGTCGTTAATCAGCCATATTCAAGCCTAGGTCTGGGTGTTTCTAGGTCTAAGGCTTTAGTATTCAGCCTTACTGCTAATACCAGGTGGGAAACTATCATTCAAATAAGAAGGACTCGAAAAACTTTAAAAAACTTAAAAGCTGTTGACAACAAAATGAGCGTTCTACTCAAGGAAAAGGCCACTCAAACGCTAGCGCTTCCGAACAGTTTAATCTCCTGTGAAGGCAATAGTGCTAGCTCCTTCACGCAAGCTGGTAAGGAG